CGCGCCGTCCCGCGCCCGCCGCAGCCGCCGCCCTGCGGAGCCGCCGGGACACGCACCCGGTAACGGCGGGACGGCACCGCCACCGAGCGGGGACAGGTTGGGGAGGCCGCGGGAGCGCCTGCGGGCGACCCGAAGCGGGGGCAGGGCCGGACGGAGCCCGGACGGAGCCGGAGCCAGGGCCGGGGCCGGGCCGGGAGCTGCAGGGGAGGGGGGGAGGGTTGGGGATACAGGTAAGGGATCGGGGGTACAGGGGAGTATTGGGGGTACAGGGGAGCGTTGGGGGTGCAGGGAAGAGATCGGGGTACAGGGGAGGGCTGGGGGCTAAAGGGGAGGGACTGATGGGGCCGCAGGGCAGAGCGGGGCTCTCGCAGCTGGTTCGGGGTGACACGGGGGGACTGTGTCCCACATCCTGTCCCCTGCCCCGGTGCTGAGCAGGCTGAGGGGGGCACTTGGCCATCCGGGCAGGGCTGGTCGGCCCCGGGGGCTGGGTAGGGGCCGGTGGGTGACAGGAGGGCACAGTCCCGGGCGGGCAGGGGACAGGGTGGGGCCAGCATGGGGTGTCATCACTGCGGTGTGGGGTCCCACAGGGCCGGGAATAGTGTGGCGTGTCCTGGGAACCCCTTTTGATGAGGTGCCCCCAAATGGGTGGGGGTAATCTCGTCTGGGAGTGCGGGTGTTCTGGTGCCGGGACAGGGCCAGTGCTGCTGTGGGTGTGCTGGGGCCTTTCTGGGCTCTACGAGACCCTGGCAAAAATCGAGTTCTGCGTCCCACCCCTCTGGAGCTGCCTGGGGCAAGGGGTGGTGGGGGTCCTGCTGTGTCTGGGTGGGCATCAGGCCCAGGGGCATCCTCCAGCAGCAGGTTTGAGCCCCAGTGGGTGGTGTCGGACATGTCACATTCAGTGTGACTGTCCCCACGCTGCGAGACTCGCTGCATCTCCCTGCTCAGCATCACAGAGCGCCAGGCAGCGGGTCCCACGCTCGCAGCCAGGGGCTCGGGGGGACATGGGGAGCAGGAGTGAGCTCAGTGCCGGGCTCTGAGCTGGGGTGTCCACGGATCCTCCATGTCCATGGGGTCCTCCATGCACCAGGCTTTGGGGTCCCGCTTTCTGAGCATGGCCCGTGCCAGGCCCAGCCAGGTGGGTCAGGAGGGTCACGGGGCTGCAGGATCCCATGCCAGGGATGCTGAGCTCCCCCAGCCTCACTCCCCCTGAGCTGTGGGCACCGGGGCCGGCTGTGCCTGGTGATAAGCCCGGGGGTGCCAGCCTGGCTTCCTGTGGGTGGCCACGGCCCCGCTGGAGTCACCCAGGATCTTCCCCTTGGGCTGCGGCTCCAGCCCGGCCCTCAGCCTGCCTGCGGCTTCCTGGGGAGCTGCAGGGATGGGGCGGGAGGCTCCTGTACTGCTGTTCCAGGGCCCTCCCCGCCGAGGGGGGCCGGGGTCCCCATGTCCTTACCCACGTCCCCCCCCGCAGCCGCCATGGACGACATCTTCACGCAGTGCCGGGAGGGCAACGCGGTGGCCGTGCGGCTGTGGCTGGACAACACCGAGAACGACCTCAACCAGGGGTGAGCGGGGCCCTGCGGGGCTGGGGGCTGCGCTGGGCGCTGGTTTCCGCCCAGGGAAACCTTCCCTCTCCGTGGAAAGGCAGGGGGCAGATGGCAGGACGCGGCTCCTCCCCGCTGGAGGAAGTTACCGCATCGCTGAGGCACGAGGCCAAACATCCTCTGGCCACTTCCTCACGGCCACAGCCGGGGATCAGCTGGGCTGGGGCTGCCTCCCCTGTCCCCGTGGTGGCGGCTGTGCCCACCGGCCTTATCCTCGTGTCCCCATCCCCTCTCTGGGGAGCACCATGGCAGATGTGGGACACGGCTGGGGCCGCTGGGCTGGGAGCTGTGGGGGCCACGCTGTGTGCCCAGGGGTCTGCTCCCCACAGCCCGTTCGAGGGGTCCTGCAGGACCGTGGGGTCCAGTGTGTGCTCACAGCCATTCAGGAGCCACGTTTGGGCCAGGCATGGGGCTCGGAGCGTCTGCCTGCAGTGTGTGCAGCTGGCGCAGCGTGACCCCGTGCCATGACCCCAGCCAGGCCATGGCCCTGGCATTCCGCATGTGCTCCAGACGAATGGTCGTGCCTCCCTGCCCCTCCTGGGGGTCCCAGGCACATGGAGCTCTCCCAGACCCTCAGAGGGTGCCCAAGGAACTGTTCTGTGCTGGGTAGCTCCTGCCTGCAGGGCCATAGTGGGGACAAATGGAGTCTGCTGTGCCAGGGGGCTGGAGCGGGGCTGGGACTGGGGGGAGCCTGGGCTGGAGGGGAGCTGGGGCTGCAGCAGCCCCTCCGCCAGTTCCTGATCTCCATTTAAGGCCTGGCTGCCACCTCCTCCCTTACTTGGTCATGGAGTGGGGGGATGGGGACAGGATCCAGCTGTGATTCAGCCTTGGAGGAGACAGGATTTGGCCTGGGCTGGTGGGGCCCTGGTGGGGGTGGGATGGATGTTCAACCCGGTCCCTTCGCCCCTGCCGCCGGTGTTTTGAGAATGATGCCAGTGATGCCCGGGCCGGGGGGCTACAGCTGAGCAGAGCCCCGTGCCACCCTGCAGGGACGACCATGGGTTCAGCCCCCTGCACTGGGCCTGCCGCGAGGGCCGCTCCAACGTGGTGGACATGCTCATCATGCGCGGGGCCCGCATCAACGTCATGAACCGCGGCGACGACACCCCGCTGCACCTGGCCGCCAGCCACGGCCACCGCGACATCGTGCAGAAGGTGCCTGTCCCCAGTGCAGCCCTCCACACTGCCCTGTCACCGGTCAGGAGCACCTGGCATGCCCCCAGCACCCCTGAGCTCCCCACTCCTCACAACTCCCTCCAAATCCCTCTGAGCCCCACGTCGGTTCAGCTCCCTCCCTGCAGCTCCCAATGTGCTGCCCCTGCATCCCCTCAGGGCGAGGCACAAGGAGGATGAGGGCTGTCCTGGGCTCATGGGGATCTTGCCTGGGCTTGCAGGGACAGTCCCGGGCTCACAGGGACTGTCCCGTGTCCCCAGCTGATGCAGTTCAAAGCAGACATCAATGCAGTGAATGAGCACGGGAACACACCGCTGCACTATGCCTGCTTCTGGGGACACGAGCAGGTGGCTGAGGTGAGTGGGAACGAGGGCAGGAGGGAGGGCAGGGTGGAGGGGGACTGAGGGGAGATCACAAACCACAGTCCTTGCTCCCTGCTCCCACAGGACCTGGTGGGCAGCGGGGCCCTGGTCAGCATCGCTAACAAATATGGTGAGACCCCCACAGACAAGGCCAAGACACCACTGCGAGAGGTCCTGAAAGGTACCAAGGTCCCTCAGGACCCCACAACTGACACAGCCTCCAGCCAGCCACTGCAGGCTCTGGGTGCCACCTTCCTCTTCCTCCCTCTGCAGAGCGTGCTGAGAAGCTGGGCCAGAGCCTCACCAAGATCCCCTACAAGGACACCTTCTGGAAGGGCACAACCCGCACCCGGCCCAGTAAGGACTGCGGGTCCCCTGGGGGTGCCGTGGGTCCCCTGTGCCCTGCTGGCACTGCCTCCTGGAGCCAGCAGCCATAGGCATTCATCCCCCTTCCACTGTAGGGAATGGGACCCTGAACAAACTCGCTGGGATTGACTTCAAACAGCTGAGCCTGAGCCACAAACTGAACGAGAACCAGTCGGGAGAGGTGGGTCCCTCTCACCCCCGGGTGGGCGCTGTGCCTGTGCACACCGCCGTGTCCTGGCCCTGCTGGGCACAGCCATTCTGGAGTCCCATGGCCAGGTGCAGGGACGGAGCTCCTCCCCAGCTCAAGGGGCTCCCTTCTCATTGCGGACCCTTGGTCCCATGGGCTCCAGAGCCCCGCACAGGGGCCTGGGGGCGCTGGGGACTCTGCACCCCTTTCATGGTGCTCCTCCTGCAGCTGTGGAAGGGGCGCTGGCAGGGCAACGACATCGTAATCAAAATGCTGAAGATCCGGGACTGGACGACGCGAAAGAGCCGGGACTTCAACGAGGAGTACCCAAAGCTGCGGTGAGCGCCGCACGCGCCTGGAGCCACCCGGCACGTGCTGGGATCCCCACCAGCATTTGACCAGGCCACTCCAGCACCTTCTCGGGGCCAGGAGCAGCTCTCAGAGTATGGGGCAGGCAGGAGCCTCCCAGCTCTGTGGGGCCAGGAACGCTCCAGGGTGGTGGCCAAGGGCTGGGAGGCCCTGGGGGATGGCAAAGGGCAGATGGGGGGTGCAGGCAGCCCCTTCCTGTTCTTAGGGCTGTCACTTCTCTTGCAGGATCTTTTCCCACCCCAATGTGCTGCCGGTGCTGGGTGCCTGCCAGGCCCCTCCAGCTCCCCACCCCATTGTCATCAGCCATTGGATGCCCTACGGCTCCCTGTACAACGTCCTGCACGAGGGAACCAGTGAGTGCTGGGGGATGGTGTGTTTGGGGGCTGCAGGGGCTTCCTCAGCCACAGTCCTGGCTGGGCTAAGGGTGGGTTGACCCCGTCATCCCCTTCCCAGATTTTGTGGTGGACCAGATGCAGGCGGTGAAGTTCGCCTTCGATATCGCGCGGGGCATGGCCTTCCTGCACACGCTGGAGCCCCTCATCCCACGGCACCACCTCAACAGCCGCAGCATCATGGTGAGTGGGCACAGCCCCTCTGCCAGGGCCGGGGGCTCTCGGGGCAGGGGAGCTCCTGCTGACCGCCTGCTGTCCCCAGATCGATGAGGACATGACGGCACGGATCAGCATGGCCGACGTCAAGTTCTCCTTCCAGTGCCCGGGGCGGATGTACGCCCCGGCCTGGGTGGCCCCCGAAGGTGAGTGCCCCGTTCCCAGCCCCCCCAGACTGGCTCCCCCACCCCCAGTCCCACTCAGCCCCCAGCCATCCCCCAGCCCTGCAGAAGAAACCAGAGGAGATCAACCGGCGCTCGGCTGACATGTGGAGCTTCGCGGTGCTGCTGTGGGAGCTGGTGACACGTGAGGTGCCCTTCGCCGACCTGTCCAACATGGAGATTGGTATGAAGGTGAGGGGTGGAGGGGCAGAGGAACTGATCTGGGTCAGTTAGGGGAGAAGTTCTGGCCATTGAGGATGGTGAGGCCCTGGCACGGGCTGCCCAGAGAACTTTGGCTGCTCCATCCCTGGAAGTGCTTAAGGCCAGCTTGGAGGGGGTGTGGAACCACCTGGGCAGGTGGAAGCTGTCCCTGCCTCTGGGGGCAGGGTCCCAGTCCTGACTCTGGCTCCTCTGCCTGCTTGCAGGTAGCGCTGGAGGGGCTGCGTCCCACCATCCCCCCTGGCATCTCCCCCCACATCTGCAAACTGATGAAGATCTGCATGAACGAGGACCCAGCCAAGCGCCCCAAGTTCGACATGATCGTGCCCATCCTGGAGAAGATGCAGGAGAAGTAGAGAGGAGGCGCCTGCCCCCTCCCGTGCTGCCTCGCGCCCCCCGCCACCCCCAAGTGCCTTCAGCCCTCGAGCCAGGGGGAGCAGAGGACACCCCTCACCCTGAGCCAGCCACGGACACACGGTACAGATGGCACTGCCTGCGCCGGAGCTCGGCAGGCTCCGGCCCCCCGCCCAGGGCAGCCCTAGCCCAGTGCAGCCCCCTACCCCAGGCCATGGCGTGTGGCTTGGCCCTGCCGCTGGGGGACGGGGCTGTGGGGCCCCCTGTCCCCCTTGCTGGGCAAAGCCCAACCCAGGACTCGGCCCCCCAAGGCTGCGGGGGAAGGGGCAGGCCAGGAGAGGCCACCTGTGGTGCCCAGCACTGCCCCCGCTTCGCGCTTCACTGGCCACTTCCCTCTGGCCCCACGATGGCCACTGGCAACCAAATAAACTTTTGGTATGGAACCAGCTGCTGGGTACAGGGCGGGGGAACGGGGGGTTGGTTGGGAGTGGGGGGCTGGGACTCACAGGGGATGTCTAGGACTGAGGGTGGGGTTGGATTGATACGGAGCTGCCTTGCAGCCCACAGAGCCCTGGGCACGCATCACCACCCACAGCACCCCTCTGGTGCCCAGCACAGGCAGGGCAGAGGTACAGGGCTCCCTCAGGAGGTACCTGGTGCAGGAGGGGTGGGCTCAGGGTCCCATCCCTGGCTCCATTTGCAGTGCTGCCTGTGCAGCCCCCAGGGTATTCCCTGTGGGAGACAAGGGGCAGTCTAGGGAAGAAGGAGGAAGAGTGCTGGGTAGTTCCTGTCCCCTAACCCCACTCTGCTCCAGCAGTGTCGGGAGCACCGAGCCCCCTGTGACCGGCAGAGGGGGGTGAGCATGTGCAGGACCAGGGCCAGCACTTGTGGACGCAGGACAGGAGCAAGGCTGCCTTCCCACAAAACCCTGCGAGGTGTTTAATGGCACCACCACAACCCCTACAAACTGCCCAAGCTCCCCGTGCTCTACGTGAAGTAATGTGGCTTCTTCACGTTGATGCCGTACTCGGCCAGCGCCGGCGTCAGGTCCTCCATGGTCAGCGTGTACTTCTTGTCCTGGGGGACAGGGGCACGCGGTCACAGCAGGGACACGGTCACAGCAGGGACCCCCAGGGTGCACGGGCAGGCGTGTCCCGCTCCCAGAGCGGCTGCTGGGCAGCACGAGGGCATTCCCAGCTCCCCACGTTCCGTTGCTCTGTGCTCTCAGACATCCCCAGACACCCAGCACGAAATGCCACTGGCCTTGCAGAGCCCCTGAACCCCAGACATGGCACTGGCAGGGTCCCCAGGAGCCCTCACTCCAGCTGCTCCCCAAGCCCAGAGCTGCAGCCACCGCTGGGGTGGGGGGGCACCCAAGTGTGTCCACAAGCTCCATGCCCCCCTCGTGTCCCTGCCAGCCCCTCCCCACCTGCAGGGACCCACCATAAGCCCGGCAGGCTCTGGGATTTCTGCAGCCCGTGTTCCTGCACTCGCTGGCTGCAGGCTCAGCCCCATCCCCAGAGAGGGCTCCCGCTTCCCCCAGTGCCCTCACCTTGCTCTTGCTGCGGGAGCTGCCCGAGGCCGTGCCCTTCATTTTGCAGTGCTGCAGGGCGTCGTTGGCGATGTCTGAGATGAACTTCTGTGCCGCCAGCGAGATCAGGCGGATGCTGCGGCACAGGGACCGTGTCGGCGAGGCAGCAGGGGTCCGTGGGCCCCTCTGCCGGACCCCCGTGGGGCTCCTGCGACCCCCCCGCCTCGCGGCCACTCACATGCGCGGGTCCGAGGCCTCAAACCCTGCCCGGTTCAGGTAATACCCCGTGACGGCGTCCGGGATCTGGGAAGAGAAGAGTTGGAACAGCTCCGCGGCGCCGCGGGAGCGATTCCACATCCTGTGTCCCGCCGCACGGAGCGGCCCCGCACCCCGGTACCGAGGGACCTGCCCCGCGCCCGGCCCGGCCCGTCCCGCAGCAGCCGCCCCGCGTGTCGGTACCGTGGGCGTGTAGTCCTCGAGCTGCATGAGGAAGTCCACGAGCGGCGTGGTGGACACCACGGGCTTCACGTCGCCGTTGGCGGCGGGCGGCACGTACACGCCGTTGGACATGGCCCCGTCCGGGGCGGCGGCCACGGCCGCGGACACCGGCACTGCGGGACAGCTCGGTCAGCGCCCGGAACCCCGCGGCCGCCGCTGCCCGGCCGGAGCGGCCCGGGGCGCCCCGCGGGGCCCGGCCCGGC